TAGATATTACAAAAATTTTATTAACTTTTATCAAAACTATTACATTTTTAATGCGAAATTTGCTTATTGGCCAATACAACCTTTCATTCTACATTAATTTTATATTTGTTTACTCCATGCAAATAAGTTTTTGCAAATGAATTATAAATCTTCTATATTTCTTTAGTTTTATTTTTTTTATTAAACCCTAACCGTATTAGTCGGTGACGTCATATGACGCTACTTTTTCTTTTCATCTAAGGTTAGTGTAGCTTCGTGCTTGCGTAAGACTTTAATTACAAAGTCTTTTTCACCTTCTGACCCAAGATCATTATCACAAATATTCGGCTCTTTCAAGGTATTGCTCTTGTGAAGTTATTCTGCCAACTTCTTTCCCTTATTAGTGTCAATATGATTATCGCAGAGATTAAGTAATTTTAAATTGGTTTTTTTACTTAGGAATTTCCATATTTTCATAATCAAGTTCATTTAAATTTAATTTTTTTTTAATGAACATGATAAGGCCGTTTATTGCCTCGGATTCAAATTTTTTTTTTTAAAATAAAAAAAAATAGACCTTTGCTTCTTTCAAGAATTAGCTAGGGTCGATATTGTAGTTGAGGCATAGGTCCAAAAAAAAAGACATAATGGTTGTATTCGCCACCAAATGTTCATAGTTTTAACACGATATTTATCAAGATGCATCTTGTTAAATATCGTTTTTCTTTAAAGTGTGTGTCAATTCCATTGATTAGGTCTTTATTGATTACTTTAATAAACGTGTTGTGTTATCTTCTGGAAACCCATCAGCCATCCCTTAAATCGGTCTTTGACCTTCTATGACTTATGTGTTCGTCGAAGGTGTGAGAGTAAACGTTGATATCATCAATGTATACAGCCACAAACTTTCCAATGTATTCCAACAACACCTTGTCTATCAGGCATTGAAAAGTTGCAAGCATGTTACAAAGCCCAAATGGCATAACATGAAACTCGTAGAGGCCGCCTCTTGTAATGAAGGCTGTTTTTTCTTGATTGCTAGGGTTTACGTGAACCTGCCAGTATCCACTTTCCTTAAATCCAGGTGTATTCTTATGCGTAAATACGTGTCTCTAGCACATATCAAATTTTATATGTAAAAATAATAATAAAAAAGTTGTCTGTTTAGTTTCTGGAGTTCTTTTATATATACAACACTATGAGACAAAGGTAACACATGATCCTATTTTTGTTACACGAATTTTGAACATAATACATAACCATTAAATAGATTTGAGTTAGTAACGTATTATTACTTATATATACTATATATATATATATATATATGGGGTGAGTCAATAGAAATCAAGCAAATTTTTTATAATAAAATTTTTTTATAACTTTAAACAAGAATAACTTAACAAAAACTTGACCAAATTTAATAAAAATTTTTTTAAATAATTTTTACAAACTTGTAGAATTAATTTAAAAAAATTTTTATTAAATTTGATCAAGGTTTTGTTAAGTTATTCTTGTTTAAAATTTTAAAAAAAAAAATTTGCTTGGTTTCTATTGACTCAACCCCATATAACTCAAATTATTCCTTTAATAACAATAAGTAAAGAATTATGAATATGCAAAATTCAACCTGATCAACGGATTAGTTTTAATTCTTTAATGCTGTTTAAAATTCAATTTCTTTTTTTTAGACAAATTTTTTATATAATAGTTTTCTTACGATTTTTACATTAAATTTACGATTGGAGGTGTATCATTTTTTATTAATGCACCCAAGGTAGGTTCAGACTAGTTGAATATTCATCATGACCATTCAATAATATTTCACGGGTTTTAATCATCTGCGAATTTATACGAATTTTGTGAAACTTAAATATTCATTGAATATTTATATTTAATCTAGCTAGTGTTTTTTTCCTAGTACCCACGGGAACTGGAAGTCATTCATTGATTGTATAATCTAAATATAAATTTTTTACGCCCTTACCTGATCCGTACATGTCAGCTTCTTGGTAGGTCACGGGTCAAAAATTGGCCCGACCCTGGTTATATGGGTCACGGATAATGGATAAAATTCAGTGATCCCGTATTTTTGACGTATAAAATGAAGTTTCGGTTATCCGATTTAAATATTTTTTATATATTACAGATATTTTCATAACGATAATTCCTGGAACACCTGATAAAAATTAACCGAATGATTTTTCAACCGATTCGATTAAGTTTGTTTTTTCGGCATAATACGTAGATTCAATAAAATTCATAATATACGTAATTTAAGATCAGGTAGTAACTAATATAAATATTATTGAATGTACTTTCAAAGCATCTTCGCTGGAAAATATTCGAAAAAAAAAATTTAGAAGGCCTATCATTCGAAAAGTTGCCAAACACTTAGGTGTTAGCATATCTTTTATAAGTCAAATTCTCAAACACTTTCAAAAATATGGATGTATTGAAAAGCTTCCGTCACTTTCAGAACCACGTTCACTGAACATGAATGAAAAAAACCTGAATGGTATTTGTGCTGTATGAATTACAATCCGAGATGGAACTCTGGTTAGACGTAAAATTGGTCTTATGACAATTTGAAGGGCTATGAGCTAACTTGTATATACAAATAAAAATAATATTTTATTTATATACAGGATATACAGGATCTTCTTTTAACACGTACTTCGTGCAATATGTTTAGCTTAAAAGTCTAATTAATATAGTGCATTTTTTATATTTCTTGTTAAGACACTAAACATGTTGGCATTATTGTTACAACGGTCTGTAAAACAGCCATTATGATATGATCATGCCGAAATTGCAAACAATCAAATCGGCTGAAAAATCATTCGGCCAATTTTTATCAGGTGTTCCAGGAATTATGAAAATAGCTGTAATATAACAGGTACAATATAGAATTGTAAATCTATAACGATAAGCTCTACTCTTTAAACCCTTGAGAGTAATTTACATAGCTATTGACCTGGATAATGCTCTAAATAAGAGTCGTCACATCAACTTTATGTTAGTATTACAGCTATTATTGAAACACTTGATAAAAATTAGCCGAATGATTTTCGGCCGATTCGGTTAAGTTATAGATGCTTAAGAAATCGAAATGTTCAAAAAAACACATTTTACTATATTTCTATTTTTTTAACTATGTCTCGATTAGAATATTAAAAACATTTTTTGGTTATTGGACAAATAAAATGCAAATTAGATTTATATTATAAACTTTGAACTTTATTAAAAAACTTTATTAAAATTTTATTAAATATTCGTTTTCAAAAAAAAAAATTATGAAATAATCGTTACAACTTTGATACTCTGTATAAGCAATAGTAATATAATTAATATACAACTTTTTAAGCTAATCTTTAATAAAATACTAGAGAAATAAAATGATTTTAAACTTATACAAAAGCGAATACAAAACGGCAATACTTTGAGATACTTAGTTTCAGAGATAATTACTCTTACTTGTCCCAACCACCATGTAGAGGTGTATCTCGTCGGTTGGGAAGGCGAACCCTAACCCATTTCTCTCCGACTGGTACTTGTTGTGGTACTGTTCCCGATTTTTGAGCGGGTTGTTCCCTTGAATCATCAATACTTAAGTATTTTATCAAGTAGCTTTTTGCTCGATTTATCCTCGCAGAGCTCGAGAAAAACCGTACCGTACCGTTTTACCGTAAAATCTCGAAATAACGCGCAGGGGTGAAATTACAATTTTCGGCCTGAATTAAGCTTAATTCGGGCCAAGATTCGAAATAATGCACATGCCCGCTATTTCGAGATTTTACGGTAAACACTCCAAAAAAAACGACGACTATTGAATATGTAAAAAACAAAAAAAGTTAAAAAAAAAGGTGAAATAAAAAATGAGATTTGCAAAAGTAAGAGAAAAAGGTGATCCTTATATGTCTTTTTATGAAATAATTCCCTGTAACAATTGGTATGACCACTACGCAGGAAGAAAGACCCAGCGCGCAAGGGGGTTTGTCTGACACGTGATAATCAATTTCTTAAAGGCAATTATCTACTAACGCTAATTTAAAAAATTAAACTTCCTTTTAAATATTTTTTTACAATGTGTTAAATCACATTTTTCGGGTTTGATCTGTGAAATTAATTTCGGAAAACTCACAATTACAGGTTTAGCACTCAAATAAATGATTATAAACTGTTAACTAACACAAATTTTAATGCCATTTCTCATTTTTATACTACATAAAAAGGATTTCTATTTGTACTCGGTAGGTAAGTTACCCGGTATATGAAAAAAATTCTAATTCGTTTTTTTCTTTCGATAAAGTTTTGTAAAAGTCTTTCTCCGTAATTACTTTATGAACAAATTTCATGGTATTAATTAAAATTTTGTTATGTATAAAAGACTGTTTCGCATTTATTAATTACCTTCCGTACAAAATTTATCAAAGAACTATTAAACCTTTTTTCGTTTAGGTGAATTCATGTTCGAATGCAAATAAACCTCAATATATATGAAATCTAAAGTTCCCATTGGCTACCCTTTCACTGTACCGGACTTAAATCCATAAAATTTCGAGTGGGCACCTAAATTTGTACGTACTCAGATTTTTTACCATAAGATTTACAGTAGTAGGGTATACTGTGTTTAATTATAATTGGATAGCTCCTGATAGTGACTAGACTCAATCATATGATCTGAGTTTAATTCGCGAGTTACGAAACGAGTCTAGTCACTACTGATCGTGTTTCACTATTGGCCAATAGTCACTGGCCGTTGCACGATACATGTGATCGTGTAACTATAAATTTCTGATAAAATCAAAAAAGAAGAAAAAATCCTACACAAAAATGTCAATAAACAAGTGGAGGATAGATTTCACAAATCTCTCGGATCAGGCAAGGTAGTGAGTTTATTCTTGGAAAGTTATTAACATTTCCTTGATCTGATAAATTTTTTTTAATATTAAGAAAAGTTGAATTACGAGGTCAACATGTGATAGTTGACCCTCCAAACCCACCAGGTTTTGAGAATTCTGTTCAAATCACCGCTTCAGGCTCAAGAAGTAGTTTGGTTTGTATGCAAAGATAAATTATACACAAATAATCATCACTTTTTTATTAATAGATAATTTTATTTGATTTTTCAGAAAAATAAAAAGGATAACACTCAAATTAGTCAAACAGACAAAGATCAAGAAGAACTTAAGAGAAAAGTATGGGAGACCCATATTTATTCGTTAAAAATTCGATCATTTTTTTAATATATTTCGTTTATTGTACATTGGTTATGATTAGAAAGCATGGGAGGCTGCTATCTCTCCTGGAAAAAATATACCTATGAGCGTTTTCATGTTATGGATGAGTGGAAATAGTGTACAAATATTCAGCGTTATGATCACTGGAATGTTGTTTTTTCAACCAATAAAGGCCTTAATGAGTATAGAAAGTGGTAAGTGAATTCTCAAAAGTAATGATATTTTTGCTATCTAAACTTTCTCTCAACAATTATTTCTTTTAAAGTATTTGAAAGATACGAATCGATAAAAACTAAGTCTGATTTAATATTGCCAAAAATTGTTTATGTTCTTTTACACCTTCTTACAATGGGACTCGGGTTATATAAATGCTTTTCTATGGGACTTTTGCCTACGGCAACTTCAGATTGGTTGGCATTCATGGAACCTAAACAGGTATAATTTAGTTTATAAATATCGATTTAAGGTCTGAAAATTTACTTAGTCTTTCTATATTATCACTATATATAGATCCTCGAATATTCTGCAGTATTATGATATAATTTTAGAAGCATTAACAAAATTTTTTGTTTTGTAAATTATGTTTATTGTATATGTTAATATATACAAGAACCTTTTAAGGAGTATATGCTAATAAATTTATAATAGACTTTATTATATTTCTTTCAACTCCATATTGCATTTAAAAACTAATAATAAAACTCTTCAGCAAAAGATTTGTACGTTAGTATTTTTGTTATTGTAAATAATTAAAAATATATCGAGATATATTTACCATTAAATTGTCTTTATATCAAGCTTAAAATTTAATTATTTTGAAGACCAATTTCAGGTCCAACGTCTTTTAAAGTGTTTTCCGCATCTTCCAGTTCAGTTGTACCAGTCCATGATGGGTTTTTTTGATTCTATATGTTTAAAATTTAGAATTTTTGACATTTAGGTATCACGTGTTTAAAATACAATAGTTCGGAATCACTTAATTAATTAAACGATTCCGTAAGGCTACAGTGTAGTTTTACCACGAGATAACATCCATTTTATTTATAACGTGAATGATAACTTACGACTAAATTTCTTAATTCTTCATAAGCCCCTTTGAGACGGCTTTGAACATCCGGGATTATTCTTTGCGATTCCTCTAATACCTCTTTCTATTATAAAGAAAACAGAATTTTCTGTATCACAAATAATAATTCCATAAGATCTGGTGATATGACGCTTTTACCTGTTTATTAATAACTGATGGGTCTGCCCCTTCTGCCGTCAGTTTTTCAATCCGTTTCTCTTGGTCTTCGACTTCTTTATGATAAGACTTTTCTTCTTTAAAGTATCTTTGGCAGTTTAAAGTAAAAGTTAATACTTAAAAAAGGTTTACCTGCTAAAGTAATCTATGGTTAACCAACCGTTTGACTACTCCGGTCTTTATCTTAAGAGTATTAAGTGACATTTTTATATTCCAAACGAATAAGGCGTTAGGCGGTTATATTGATGATAATCTGCTGATTCGTTTAAAATCTCCAGATGGTTAAAAAAAAATAGATCTGAATTTACATTAAAAGTATCGATAACAGATAAGTATGTTAACGTTAACGTTAGCGTCATTATCTCATTACCGTTATAAAATTTATGTTCACGTGAGATGCAGAGCACAAAATTTCCGGGTGATGTAACCTGCTTTTTCTGTTTTTGCAATATTCTTTTTAATCTGAGGTTCAAATATAATAGCCAATGAAATTTGCTAAATTTTCCGACCGATGAAAAGTCGAGCCGGAAATTGTCTTACGTAGCGAAATTTTACAATAGATTTTGTGCAGTTTTAGAAAACTAATCTGATATATCGATATATTGTTATTATACGTATCGGGATATATTTTTTGTTTAAATAAACCTTAAATATGTTGTGGAAACGGGTTTGGGAATTTCTTAGTTAAAATAGGGTTAGAGTACGTATAAGTTTGCACGTATATAATAAAATGTACCCTGAATTCTAATTTAACCAAGAATTCTGAATCCACTTAAATTCTGTTCCCACTTACAACTATCAAAATTTTAACGGATCTAAAGTATTACAAAGAGAATAACGATAGAGCTATTCTTTTTATTAAAAAATTAAAAAAAAATTCTAAAGATCTGGTGGGGTTCGGTGACAACGTATTATTACAGCTTCTGGCGTTAATTAAAAAATATATTTTATTATGCACCATAACTTTAATGATATAAAGTATATTTGACGTCATACAAATTCCTTGCAGTAATCAGAAGCTTATACATAAATTGTTATCATTATTATAAGAAATCACGGCTCTAGCCAATTTATTAATCAAACTTCTAAACTCGCCTTCTTCATTAGCTGTATCAAAATTTTTTCTGTCTCTTCGACTTCACTTACTATATTTTCTATTACTTTCGTATTTTTTTCAATTGATCGTAAATGAGAAGAAATAGACTTTTTGACTTCACAAAGTTCATGATCTTGTTCGGGCTGTATATAAAAAGATCGTAATATTTAAATTGATAAAAATTTTATAACGAGATAGTATAAAATAACTCACGTCCCAAAGGCACAATGATCGATCTTTTAGTGGTTTAAGATGATTTTTAATTAATTCATCATCCACATCAACAAGGTCTTTAAATTCATTCTTTAAAAGCGGATGAAGCTAATTTAATAAGTAATGAAGACAATTAGTCTAACATGCCTAACATCAATAAATTTATAATGCCTGTCGCGGCTGAAGCTGGGAATTAGGGTCCTCAATTTAAAAATATAAACCCTACCAAAATCCACTTTTATTATCAAATTTAGCCCTAAATTCTAACCTAACTATTAAAATGAAAATTTCATGTTAAAATAATTAAAATTCCAGCTTCAGCCGCGACGATGATGCCCATGCTCACTATTTCGAAATTTTACGATATGCATTTGCTCATATTTGAACCTTACTTTTGTCCTATGAAGCATTTTATTTCTAGTTTCAACAGCTTTTTTATCGCTTTTAAGTTTGGTTAATATTTCAGAGTCTTCTTCCAAAAGCCTTGTAAAGCAGATAATAAATAAACGTAAATAGGATGGGGATATGAAATATTGGATCTATTAAAATTAGAAACTTACATTGTCTCATGTTCAAGTTTAACTTCCATTTGATTTATCTGCTCTAACTCGTTGGCCAATGCCATCTCCAATGCTTGCTGTTCGATTAAATGACCTTTAATAAAGTTGTACATATATATACTCCTTATTGAAGCAGACCTACATTTTGAGAATGAATCTTGTTATAATCGAAATTTGCTTTCTTCGGGTATGTTGGTACTAGGAGCGTCTCCAACTTTTTATCAATTCTTGACGTGATTAGAAAAAATAGTAAGCCAAAATGACAGAGTTTTTGAAGATCTATTGAAATGGACCTATGCTTTACTTTGAAATTAATCTATCTAATACTTTTTGTAATTCTGTTTTTTTTTTTCCACGAACACCATTAATTACGACTCTAATTTTATAAAAGGACAGGTTAGTATAAAATTGATTTTTACATATTTTTAAGATTTTGCTAAAAAGAAGCTTACGGAATCGAACTGTTTAAAATTTCACGAAAGTTCTGTCTAGATTTTTCGCTTAAAGGCTTCCAATGTTTTGATCTCGGCTAAAAAAAAACGCGTAAAATTTACGTGTAAATTAAAATTATTCAAACAGGTAAGGCTAAAATTTCCCGGAACTTACCATTTCTTTTTGTACTGAGGGATAAATTTTTTGTTTTGCTTTTTATTATTCGAAGTTATTTTTGATGTGACTATTTAAGGCGTCGTTCGTTACTAGGGTGCAGAGTGGGCCGGGCTAAACCCGGAAATTAGCGGGCCGGGCCGGGCTCGGGCCTAGTTTCGGGCTCCATTTTTATAAAGCGGGCCGGGCTCGGGCCTAGTTTCGGGCTCCATTTTTATAAAGCGGGCCGGGCTCGGGTCGGGCCTAAAAAATATCGGGCTGGTCCCGGGCCTCTGTAATATACCCGATTAGGCCCGGTAAACCCTAGAGGTAGATTACGTATATACGCATATATATACTATAGGTATTTTCAAATATGCTTTTGCTTTTTGCTTTTTTTTTTTTCAACAAAAGCCGAATTCGGGTTTTTGTTAAAAAAAAAAAAAAAAAAGCAAAAAGCAAAAGTATATTTGAAAATACCTTATATTTGTAGTTATAATGTAGAGGTAA